CCCAGAATCAATCCTTGTTCCCTTCGTCATTAATTATAGAGAACCCATTTAGTTTAATCGTTTTATTCGCATTTTTATTTTCCAGCAACCAATCTCGCACGACGCATTTTTATTTATTTTCTTTTTAATCGCTAAATTTAATTAATTCTTGATTCTCTTTTGTCCGTCCCTGTGGAGACGATACTCGTACTTACACCACTATATTACGATCTATTTTAAGTGCGAGAAAACACACATCAGTCCCTTTAAGTCCGATCTGATTTGAGACTGAAATAGATTCAAGTAAAAACATCATACGGAGTATTTAGCATGTGTGAGACTTTATATTTTCTGCTTTTACACCAAGAGCCCGTTTGGTGGCACGAAAATCGACTGATTTGGCTGATTTTGCTGAAATGTATGAAGTTCTGGTGAAGTGGCTGCATTGGCTGATTCTGCTGATTTAAGAAAAAATTATTTTTAAAATATATTTTATTAATAAAATAAAGAAAAAATTATATGTAAAAATAGCTAAAATGATCATCTACAGTAACTTCAGCCAATACAGCCAGAAAAGTAACTTCGACCTTACTTTTTCTGCTTATTACACAATTCAGCGCGTGAAAGCAAAAGTTGTGTGTTTGATGAAAAAGTTGGCTGATAAGCCCGATAAGCCGAAAAACATTGGTTCCAAACGGCCTCTAAGAGTCCGTTTGGTGACCATTTTTTCCGGCTTATTAGGCTTATCAACCAACTTTTCACCAAACACGTAATTTTTTATTTAGCGCGCGGAATTTTGTAATAATAAGAAAAAGTAAGGTTGAAGTATATGATCTTTTTAGCTATTTTTCATATAATCTTTTCTTACTTTTATTAATAAACAATATTTTAAATAGAAGTATAATTTTTCATAAATAAGCAGAATAAGCCAATACATCTACTTCAATCAGGACTTCATAAATTTAAGCAGAATCGGCATATCTAGCCGATTTCAGTGTTACCAAACGAGATTTAAATATTTCTATAAACCTATTTATCTAGTCCAGATCAGACTTAGATAATTATCTTAATTGGTTTTTACCAAACCAATTAAGGCTAGACTAGATTAAAGATAAACATATTAAATCAGACTAAATTTGAATGGGCTAGATAAGGCTAAGAGTCCGTTTGGTGACCATGATTTTTAAATTATCAGTTTAAGTTTTTGCCACTTTTAGTCCCCCGACTATTATGTCATTGACACTTTTGGTACTCGACTTTGATTTTTTCCATTTTTAGTCCTTTGATTATTATGTCATTGACATTTTTGGTACTCGACTTTCATAAATTTGACACTTTTGGTCCTTCAATTATTATAACGCTGACATTTTTAGTCCATTTCTTGTGTCAAATTCATAGTGGACGGACTAAAAGTGTGAATTTTATAATACTCAGGGGACCATTCCAAGCCTTGTGGAGCTTGCAGTTCTTGCATCAACAATCTAAATGTAAGAGAAATTAGGTCCTCGTACTTTTAAAAAAATCAATCAAATCCCCGAACTTTGTTAAAATGTTCAATTGAGTACATTTACAAGTTACTTGCCATGTCAGCAGGTCACCACGTCATCAACAAATGAGTGATTGGGCTTCCACATGTGTGCCACGTCAGCAAAATTATTGCTGAATGGGCTGCCACATGTGCGCCACCTAAGCGAGCGACCTGCTGACATGACAAGTCAGGTGCTAATGGACTCAGTTGAACATTTTTACAAAGTTTGGGGATTTGATTGATATTTTTAAAAGTACGAGGACCTAATTGATTTTTTCATGAAAGCACGAGGATCAAATTGACAGTTTTTCCAGATGTTTTTGTAATGTAATGGGGAAATTTATACAAATAAGACCTAATCATATGAAGTTTCCCAAACTAGGACTCTAATTATCCGTAAGACACAAACTGCATATATTTTGACTGTTATACCCTTCCTGAAGTACGCAAGCTGCAAAGTCGGGTCCCAGAGAAGCGGAGGTGTCAGTTCGCACTCATCTCGCCAACCTAGCCTCCTCCTCCTTGGAACTACCTCCGCTCAATTTTGCTACTTTTCCTCCGTCCTGTTAATTTTGGCGGCCACCGTTGCTGAAAAGGAAAATCGGTTATAGAGGTACCTGGTGGCGAGCAGTCTCAGTCGGCCTGTGATGTCGCCACCATCTATGGCCCAAGTGGAAGCGCCACTGCTTTGCCTCCTAGACGTCGGATGCTTTGAGGGTCTTTTGAAGATAAAATAAATGTATGAATACGATCAATAGGCTGTTGTGTTGAATCAGTAGAGACTGATCCAGAAAACAGAGGGTTCTGATTAAGGTCTACTTATGGGCATTAACCAGTCCGTAATAAGACAATAATTTAGAAAATATCAGTTTGTATCGAGGTGGTTCATATTTGTCCACAACAAGATGATGGTGTAATTTGATACTGATTACATAACTTAATACATTAAAAATGCTTACCTTTAAGTTTGCACTTGCATGGACAAATGTGGTATGTTTGTCATCAAATTTGCTGAATTTGTACTGATGGGTAAAGATTTAAGTGAAGTTTTGAAGGAAGATGTTGATAGCTACCGCTAAAATTGACGATGAAGCTATTGATGTATGCATCAAGATGGAAGTAGTTAGACTACGATGCTTTGTAATTATTATGATTAGGATCTTAGGAAAGAAAAAAAAATATGTAAAATTCTTTCTTTTGACCATTAAGCATTGTTCATAAATATTGGTTACAATCGGTTTGACTGTGTGTAATCTTGTTTTTAGTGAAATATGAAATGCTTGATCACTCTTATTTAGTGTTGAGTTGATTTGTAATGCTGGATTAAAGTATGCAATAGTGTCCATAAGTAGACAGTAATAAGTCTTTAATGTCTCAGACGCAGACATTAAATTCGTACAGTTAATATAAGTACAAACTTTAATACAAAATTATGAACCAACTATGAAACTTGATAGATTCAACTATTGAAATGAGTTTTAGATATATTTCCCATGCATATGTATGATACAAATCACATGAATATAGACATAAAGGTCTATACATTTCTTTTGGAGACATAATAGATGTATGAGTAGAATCAGCATGTTGATGTGTTCAATCACTATTTCAGCAGCCTTCTGTCTTCAATCATCAGGTGTGTGAAGCACGTTAGTAGTACCCAGTGGGAGTAGAATAACATCATACTCATTCCTCAAAACCTATCTCATACAAATTTTGGGTCTATCACTAAGATTTCTAGTTGTGATCGCCTTTCTTGCACCAAGAACAATGCCGATGAGATGCAAATTCACCGGTTGAGGGTATGCTCTTCATTTTGTCCGAATACGATTTCTTGTTGAGACCACCTTTTTTGCACTAGAACATGCCCTTTCTTTCAAAGTAACAACAAAGTTTCAAGATATCTTAGCATTAGTAGGCTTCATAGATGAACCATCAATAATAATAACTCGAAAGTAATGTTTCCAGCCCTCAATCCATGGATTGAAAGACATAAAAATGTACTTAATATGAGTATCATCACCCATAATCAGTGGGATTATTGAATCTTGATTCTTTTGTCCCAAAACATATGGAAGGAATGACATAAAGTGGTAAGACTCCTCATCTGAACCCATTTTTAGCCTTTAGGTTTGCATTCCACGCTTCTTTGTAAGGAAGTATCACACCATAATCTCTCTTTATGTCAACCACTATATTAATAGGAGCACAAGTTTTGTAATAATTTTAGATGTGACTTGACAATGAAGACCTTGTCTAAAAACAATGGAATAGGAATGATCAAAATCATACCTGAAAACAAGAACATAAAATATTAGACAATTGTAGACATTAAATAGTTCTTAAATAGATACATAGAGACATTAAAATCCAAGGTAACAAAGGAAGTATATGAAATTCAGAACATAACATGTGACTTCTAAATGCAAATCATGTACCTTCTAATATGGAACATATGACTTCCAGATAGCATCACTGCAAGAATAGCCCAGAGGCAACCATCATCAACACAAACATCATGTAATACTATGGGTTTGAAAGTATTTATCTTATAATGAAAATGATTTGTAATTGCATACATATTTATAATCTAAAGCTTTTTTATTTTTGTATATAGCATGTTTGACTATATGAGTAAGATGGAGTGAGAAAAAAACTTCAAAATCAGGAACAACACACGAAAAATCAAAATGAGAGGCTGAATTAAAACCGGGAGCTTGACTTGAAAAACACAATTAAAGATGAAACAATATTGCTATGAATACTTAAGTTGTGTTAAGAATCTTCATTGGAAGAGGAATATATGTCTTCTAAATTCAGTGAATCAACACATATAGGACTTAAATGATTAAAACAAGCAGAACAACTAATACAAACTCATGTACTATGAACTTCAAATCTATTGATGCGGAAGAATGTCGAAGCGCAGTACTGCAGTATACAAAAGTGATAAAATGTCCACAAAATTTCGAAGTGTTGTACACAATATAGCATAACAATATAATTTTAGAGTGTGAAGAAAACTAAATGACGAAATAAATAAACAATCTAATTCCGAAAACACGGAACACAAAATCGTAATCAGAAAACACAACATACAAACTTACAACACGAATTCACAGAAGAAACGATCCATAAATTGTGATGACGCTCAGTCAAAAGTTTGCAGCTGACTCCTATCAGAATGAAGATACTGAGTCAGAATTGTTAGAGATTGAGTTCAAATTAGTGATGCAAACTAGACAGCGAAAGTTCACAGCCAAGCTTGAAGAAGATCTAGAGGAGGATTGTGTTTCCTTCCATGGACGAAGTAGTATGCGGCTAGGTCGTTACCACAGAGCAAAAGGAATAAAAGCGGTAGTCTATTACGAATTTACGAGTCATGAACATTCAGGGACATTTTAGGTACGTTAGATTTGAGTTTGCTAAAATAGGATTTTTTTTAAGTAAAAAATTTAGAGAAATGCTAAGGGTACATAACTTGTACACAAGTTGTACACCCTATAAATACCTTTTTTAGTTTCCACCCTTTCCTTTTCACTTTTTTTACCTTTCCTTCTCCATCACTTTTCTCTCACCCTCTCTCTTTTTCTTCTCTCGGCTACGCACAACACTTCCCACTCGTGACTTTCTTTCTCTCCTCTCTTCACCACTTCATCTTTTTTCCTCTAATTTCTCTAGCACTTTCACTTCACCAATCTTCCAATTTATTTATTCTTGATGGGAAGAATCTTCCCAAAATCATCATTATTGAGGTAATTTACTCCGATTTTTTTGATATATATTTTAGGGTTTTTTATTTATTTTCCCTAGAATTTATGTATGTTGTAATATTGAATAATTTTATTTTTGTTTTATTGTAAAAGAATGCGGTGTTAGTTTTTGGAATTTTAATCCCAATACTCTATTTCAATGTATGCCCATAATCTGTATGTTAAAATGACTCAATGAAAATTTCTTCTAATTCATGATTTTGTTCTATATTGGATTAATATACATTAGTTTCTAATGAGTTTTAGACTATTTTTCTAGTCTTCCAGTTTTACTACGATATACTAATTGTTGATTGACTATTATTTGATTGTTGTGAATGTGCTAGATGTTTTTTCTTTTAAGGCTATCTTTGTTTTTAATTTTTCAAATTTTATGTATGTTACTAGATACTGTTAAATGTATGACTATTTGGATTCATGATTATGGATTGGTGATGATTATGATTCACCGTATTGGGTATGCTAATGATAGTGATGATTGAGTATGCTATAACCTTTAATAGTTGATTAATCGATTTTATTGTAAGAGATATGAAGTGTTAATTATCACAATTTTAGGATAATTACTCTAGTTCATTTATGCCCATAGCATATTTAATTATAGGTAATGTATGTTTCTAAAGGTGTATCTTTTGAGTTATGAAAAAGAAAATGAAATTTCAATGTTGGTGAAGTAAGTATTTATGAAGTCTTTATGTTTCCAAAGACGTATTTCAATGTTGGGTTTAACTTAGGGATACTAAGCAAGTGAGAATCATATAATATAGTGCAACTTGAGCTCATAGTTCAATATATTTTTTGTTATGCCTGCAAGCGTGTAAGACACAATATAATGATTATAGCCTTCTAAATGATTTAGTTTTTCTCACACGCCTCAAGTAAATGCAGAAACTTTGGCTGCTCTTGATGCTCCTCTTTGGCGAAACTAGGAAAAAATGGGACTGGGCCTCAAAGTATTATGAAATGGATGGCATTTATTTATCATCTTAATCCATTATGGTTCTTTGTTGTAGTTATTTGTTTCATAGTGATTACTATATCACCATGAAGTTGATGAGATTCAAGAAAGTGAAAAAGATGTTGTAAAATAGTTTAAAGATAACATATTATCTCTTTTAGTTGTGACTTTATACACATGCAGTTTTGTTTGTGATTAGTGGGCAATAGTTTTATTTATACAATGTAATATTTGTGATCAGATAATTGTTTTTGTTGAAAAAATTAATGGGAAGAGTTTTATTTATACATATATAATTTTTTTTGTGCCATAATAGTTGCCCAGACAATAGTTGTTTGTGCCCAGACAGTAGTTGTCTGTGCCCAGACAATACTTGTTTGTGTCCAGACAGTACTTGTTTGTAACTAGACATTTCATGTCCCGTTCACAGACAATTCCAATTAGCACATTTACTCATTCCAGTGCCTATTGTCTGTAGCCGGACATTTCATGTTTGCTTCACAAACAATTTCACTTAGCACATTAGTTCATTAGCCCATTCAAGTGGCCATTGTTTGTGGCCAGACATTTCATAGCAGCTTCACAGACATTTTCACTTAGTACATTAGTGGAATTGCCTGTGAAGCAAGCATGAACTGTCTGGTTATAGACAATAGCCACTTGAACGGACCTAATGTACTAAGTGAAAGTGTTTGTGAACGTGATATGTGGTGTCTGACAACAAACAATAGCCACTGAATTGGGCAAATGAGCTCATGTGCTAAGAGGAATTGTCTGTGAAACAGGCAAGAAATGTCTGGCCACAGGCAATAGCTAATGGAACAGGCAAATGTGTTAATTGGAATTGTCTATGAATGCAACTTAAAGTGTCTGGTTACAAACTATAGCCACTGAAACAAGTTAACCTGCCAAGTGAACAAGCACTATCATTTACAACCCAAATGTCATATACACTCCAACATCTCAAACCTCAATGCCACTCATTCAAAAGAAACAAGCATTATCATTTACAGCCCAAATGTCAACACATTCCAACATTCCAATGCGACTGATCTGTATTAACTAGTTGGCATTCTAATGTTGGATAACTTATTATGTGGAATTGTCTGTGAATCAGACATGAAGTATTTGACCACGATAGGCATTAGAATGAGCTAATTTGCTAAGTGTAATTGTCAATAAATTAGACATGAAGTGTCCGGTCACAAACAATAGACAATGGAACAAACTAATTTGCATAGTGGAATCGTCTGTGAGACAGACATAAAATGCCCGATCACAGGCAATAGCCACTGGAATGAGCTAATTTGTTATGTGAAGTTATCTATGAATAGGACATGAAGTGTGCAATAATTGCTAAGTTGAATTAATAAAATTACAATAATTATGGTGCTTTGTTATAGTTAGATTTTATTCGTTTGCAATATTCTTTTAGTAGAAAATGAATGAGAATCATTCAAGTGTGCCAGCACCTTATTTATCTGAGCCCAAACAATAGTTGTTTGTGCCTAGACAATAGATTACAAGAAAATGAATTTATAGAGGCAAAGCAAAAAACTTATACTTCGTATTACATTTATTTAAACATAATAGAATGTTGGACAACATTTACAAAAGTATAATATGATTAAAAACACACTTGATTCAATATTGATTCTTCATAATTACATCAATAACTTTCTAAAACTAATAGACAACTAGTGAATATATCTCAACGGTACAAAGTTCAAGCTAATTTAGCATCTCTTAAATATTAACTTGGTAGTTGGAATAATATCTCTCTTCCATGTTATGAGCAACTCCAAACAGCAGATTTCTTGCCGTAGGTCTCCTCTTTAGGGAGTACTTTTCCTGACAAGTACAATATAAGGGCGGAGTTACACCAGGATAGAAAAAAACTGCTAAAAGACAGTGCATCGCTAGTAAATTTAAGGATAGTATGCCAGAAAGTGATGGGGAAAAAACTGCTAATATAGAAGTATCCAACTAAACATATGAATAGAAATAAGTTAACTCAATGTCAATGAAGTACATATATAAAATTCTCATCCCCAATCAAGAATACAAAGTATATGCATCTTCTCTTTATAAATCAGGACACACACATACACATACATACACACACACATACACACATAGTTAGCAAACACTAGTCCAAATGCCATAGGGTAAAACCTTTAATTTTTTTATGTAGGACTTCACTCTGGAATGCAATTTGAAACATATGAAATTCAATAGCCTGTCTGATTATAGAATGACCATGTTTCTATACAGATACTATGTCAAGGAGAATACGGTTTTTCATAACTAGTTAAATTTTGTTGTCTTTTTAATCTCCCTAAAAGGGTAGCTCGGTGAACGTTGCATAACTGTAGGGTTATTAGGATCCAGGAAAGGATACTACCACATGGGCATTTAACTTGAGAACAAAATCAAATGTTTCTATCGTATATAAAAAAACAATATCACTTTGATAATTAAAGAATACACTAACTCTCCAAAAACAAATGTTTGAACTAAGAGAAAGAAAATACTTTAGCACCCTAATACTGATATCAGCATATGGAAAATATGAAAATCATTATTTGTTTACACAACAACAATAAGTTTACAATGTATTCCAATACAACAACTCAAGTACAACCACTAACAAGAATAAGAGCTCAAAAGCACCTGTAATAAGAAATTCAGAACTTAAAAGGGTGTGTAACAAAAAGAATGATATTCTCAAATAATATAGTGAAACAAAAGTGTCAAACAAACAACATTAAAATATCAATAAAACATACTACCTCCGTCCCTTTTTATTTAGCCATCTTTGACTTTTCCAGTCAAAGTTGATAAACTTTGATCCCTTAAATCAACCAATATATTTATGTAAAACTTAATAAATTTATACTTTTATGATAGTATTTTTAACAAAGAACATTTTCATATAATTTTCACATTATCAATATTACCGTGTATAAATATATAATTGGTCAAAGTTGAACAACTTTGACTTGAAAAAAGGTGATTGGCTAAATAAAAGGGGACGGAGGGAGTAAAATTTAAAAGAAAAAAAAACAGAGTTAAAACCCTAAGCCACAATAACAAAAAGGGGCAAATTAGCATCTAATGAGTTAGGGTTAAGGAGGTTGGATTGAAGGAAGATAAAGGGGAAATGAATACCACGGTGGCGGTGGGTTGGCAGCAATTCACCAAGTCGTAAATCGATCCTCCATGCCGGAAACACTAGCGGGTGGTCGGCCCTATAATTTTCTGGGCCGTGGCAGCATCCGGGCGGCGGCAGCTCCAAGCAGCGATGACTTCTAGGTCTGCGGCGCTCCATCTTCATTCGTGAACACCTTAGTGACAAATGAAATTGCTTATGACAATTATATGTGGAGAAGGATTGAAATGAAAAGAGAAAATTGCCTAAATAGGAGTAAAAATGTTTTGAAATTCCAAAATAGGAGTATCATGTTTTTATTCCCTAAATAGGAGTAATTTATACCAATTTTGGAAATTACAAGGCTTTAAACATGGCATTTTTTCCAAACTTGGCAGATTACTCCTATTCAGGGAATTAAAAACATGATACTCCTATTTTGGAATTTCAAAACGTTTTTACTCCTATTTAGGGCAATTTCTGAAATGAAAATGAAGAAGAAAGAAAGGAGAAAGTGGGTTGGTGGAGAAAAGCTACGGGCAGGGCGTAGAGAAGAAATAGGAGAAGGAGAGAAGGGAGAGAGAAAGAGGGTAAAAAGCAAAAAATGAAATGGTAAAAATTATGGGATATTTATAGCATGTACAAGTTGTGTACAAACCATGTATACATAGCATTTTCGAAAAATTTAAGTAGGTCAAAAGTATATGAAAGAGTCATTGTGGACAATTTTCTCAATATAATATACCCCACCCCACGTTTCTCTGTAGCCCCCACCCTCACCACTGCCTGCCCAAGCGTGACTCGTTTTGAAAACAGCACGTACCAGTATGCTCAGTTGTTCACCTCACTCTTGTTCTTGACGTGATAGTGTTTGGCATATTGCTTCCACAGTTTACTTGACAAATATACCGACTGTCGTGAAGTTCCCATGGCAGTATGGGTCAGTGCATGAGGAGATCTGATGATAGCCTTAAAAGAACTAAGATATATATTTATATATATATATATATATATATATATATATATATATATATATGAGGGTTGAAGACTAGCAGTAGCCTCTTGTTTCAGGTGGATTTGGTTCACCAATTTGAGCTGAACGGATTTCATTCAAGAAAAGCTAGCAACTTTTTTCACTCTCTCCGTGTGGTTGAAGTATTCAATGCTCTTGTGGTATTTCCTAATTGAGATATTCTCTGTGGGGGTATGTTTGCTTTCGCCCGAGCATCTGATACTTATCAATTTTTGGTTTAAAGTTGGTTGATTGGTTTTCGGCAAGTAATTAATTACCATATATGCTAAGTGGTGCAGTTATAGCTATTTTGGCGATTTTGGGAAGGCAAATCTTTGATTATTTGGGGGTTTCTCTTTATTTGGTGAAACTGGTAGTTCATTGATTTGATATTAGAGAGGAAATCTGGGAAAGTTTATCATTGGTTATAGATTGCTGATTTTCCTGGTTCCTAAGGTTGTTCAAGAGAATTACAGCTTTTGGATCAATTAATGTGCTGATCATGACCAAACCTGCCCGTAACCGCATCATACTCAAAGATGTAAATGATAACATCAGTGACCATCTCCGAAATCACATGCATTTGACAAACTGCATTCATCTAAAGAACCACCACATGCGTAGTAAGCAGAGTCCCATTTTGGCCGCTGCCAATAGGTCCCTCATGAGAGACCTTGCTGTCCTTCAGAGATCAACAAGGTCCCTCAGGGATCCTTCTACAAGCCCGCCCCAAGTCCGTTTCGGAACATCAGCTGATGAGAACAGGCTTCAAGATGATTTTAAAGATTTCATCCATGGAAATGGTTATGGAAACTCCACACATAGGAGTATAAATGTCAAAAACAGGAGAAGACGTAGAAAATGTGATACAACATTGGATGGGAGTGAGTTGTCTGTCGCTTCAAATTCTTTTGGCCAATGTCAAAACCAGGATGTCTCCAAGAATAGATGTGGCATTCCCTGGAACTGGTCAAGAATTCACCGTAGTGGAAAATCCTTTCTTGATCTGGCCGGCAAAAACTTGTACTGTGGGTTTTCCGAGTCAACAAGGTCAAGAATCCATGCCGATTTTTCTGGAGAGTTGGGTATTTTTGCGGGCAATAATCTGCTAAACGATGATACTGACTCCGAACTTGTTTCCGAAGCTAGGTTTTGCGGTAAATGCTGTTCTCTAGGTCATAATGGCAACAGTTTCAGGCACTGGAGTCTCACTAATAAATACATGCCTATGACCTTCCGGGGTTTGGTTGGACAAAATTTGGTTGTAAAAGCTCTTTCCAATGCCATCCACAAGAGGAAGGTCGGGTCACTTTATGCGTTCTATGGGCCAAGCGGTACGGGAAAGACTTGCTGTGCACGGATATTTTCCCGGGCTTTAAATTGCAAATCTCGTGACCATCATTCCAAGCCTTGTGGAGCTTGCAGTTCTTGCATCAACAATCTAAATGTAAGAGAAATAGGTCCAGTGAGTAATGTCGACTTTGAGGATATTATGGACCTTCTTGAAATGATGAGTGTTTCTCAGTACAGAGTATTTATCTTTGATGGTTGTGATAATTTAGCGACTCGCTCATGGAATGCTATTCTGAAGTTTATAGATCGTGCACCTAGGAAAGTTGTTTTCGTTCTTATTTGTTCAAGACTCGATGAGTTGCCTCATATGATCATATCCAGGTGTCAAAAGTTCTTTTTCCCAAAGTTGAGAGATGTGGATATGATCCGTACATTGCGACGTATTGCTGCTGAAGAGGAAGTGGAGATTGACGAGGATGCATTGAAGCTTGTTGCAACAAGAGCATATGGATCTCTCAGGGATGGGGAGATGACTCTTGAGCAGTTGAGTTTGCTTGGGCAGAGAGTTACTGTTTCTTTGGTTCAAGAACTAGTGAGTAGTTTCCTCAGTTTCTTGTTGTGTTTGGGTGTGGAATTTGGCACTTTTGTGCTTTTACATGTTATGACTCATTGTGTCTCAAAATACATGTAAGGAATTCAAAAGAGATATTGAAGCCCTAATCTTGCAAAAGTTTTTTTTTTGGCTTGCTGAATCTGCTTGATTTTTTTAAAGGAAAAACATTTCATACAATCTAATTCAGCCAATTAACTAAATAAGTCAAGAGTTACTTAATCCGTTTGTTTGTCATTCTGCTAATTCTGTGAGCTGAACTAGCCTACCAAGCGAGAGCATGTGTGTGTGTGTGTGTGTGTGTGTGTGTGTGAAAAAGATCCTGTCCAGCCATCCGGACAGGATCCCTCGTCCAGCCGCCTCCTTTTGAGGAGGTTCCTAGTGGAGTTTTTTTGATGAATCATTTTCAGGATGTTCTTCATGAAGTATAAATTATTATGTACACAAAATTTGAGTTCAAAATTCAATTGGGAAATCAGTTAAATAAATTAATGAAAAACATTGCGTTATATGTTTATATATATTTGGCACAATATTTTTCAATAATTTATTTAACTGACTTTCCGATTAAATTTTAAGCTGAAATTTTGTGGACATAATTAAGACTTAATGAAAAACATGCTCATAAAGTTTCATCAAAAAATTCCACCAGAACCACCTCAAATGGAGGCGGCCGGACTGGGATTCCGGTCAGAAAGGCCTGACTAGATCATTACTCTGTTGGGACGGATTTTTGCAATATAAAAAGAAATCTTGGTTAAATGTTAACCTATTGGATCATTACCGTATTGGATCATTAAGTTGTATGTAGCTTTTTAGAACGAAAATAAATTTGGGACGGATAACCTAACTGTGAACATGAAAACAAATCTTGGTTAAATGTTAACACTAATATCATAGACTAGACATCTACCTGACCAATTTAGATCAAACTAAACCAGATTTAAATAGACCAAACCATAAAATTTTAGTCCATTTAATAGCATATATACCTTAATGCTCCTCCCAAATTAGTTTCTTCCTGATGAGAAATATCATTTTTTATGAGCAGCTGAAATGCTGAATCTTATGCAATTAGAATTATCAGTGAAAGATATGTTTCAATCTAATGCTAGGCAAAGTAAAACAAAATGTTATGGAAAATTATTGTTTTTGTTTATGTTTTAGTGGTTTTAGCGTGGAAATGCAAAGGAATGTGAAGTACTACTCTTTTTTAATTCAAAGTTGCATACATTTAGATTACCGGGTCATTATTCTCAGTCATATTTTCTCTGAGACATTCACAATTGATGCATGTAAAATTTTTTCTTACAATTGAGTTTTATGAATGAGAATTTTAGAAAACAGTTTTTCTCATTGCCTTCAGGTCGGGCTAATTTCTGATGAGAAATTGGTAGATCTACTTGACCTGGCATTATCAGCAGACACGATCAACACTGTGAGAAATCTTCGGGGGATAATCAAAGCCGGGGTTGAGCCCTTGGCTTTAATGTCTCAACTAGCTACTGTTATAACTGACATTCTTGCTGGTAGCTATGACTTCTCAAAAGATAGGTCACAGAGGAGGAAGTTCTTTCGCCGCCATGCATGTATGCGTGTAATAATTTATATCATCCTCATGACTCATGTATTCACATGTTTCTTATCCTTCTAGGTATATTCTTGTACATCATAATGGTAAGATTCTAAGGGTGGAAGAGGACATTCTGTTCATAGCTCGATGCTCGGGAATACTCTCTATTCTTCTCAAATTGATTCTGCATACTTTTTTTTTTACTCCTGGGGGCGTCTGGGGGAGGGTAGGTGACCAACTGAGCTAGACCACTTCCTCTGATTACTTAATCGACAATTGAATGCACAAACAAATTACTTATTGATGGATAATTAGTTTTGAGGGTGTTAATTATCATTTTGCAGGCGACTAGTCAACTTCGCATGGATTTGAATTGCAGTATAACCCTCTTTACTATTCAAATTCAAATGAAAAGAAAATTACTTTTGACTTCCAGTCCAGCCCGTTTTTCCTTGATTTAATGACTCCCACTTGTTGCTATGTTTGATTTTTTTTCCAACTGAATGATCTGCTTTTTTCGTTTGAAATTCAATTTCAGTAACCAAAGACGATTTGGAAAAATTACGGCAGGCTCTGAAAACATTATCAGAAGCTGAAAAGCAGCTGAGAGTATCAAATGACAGAGTCACGTGGCTTACGGCAGCTTTACTTCAACTTGCGCCTGATCAGCAAGATCAACTTCTCATTTCCTCCGCAGACACAAGTTTTAATCAAAGTCCCCTTGGATTGTTCAACTATGGAGGAGAAACAGAGTTGTTGAAAACAGAAAACGTTCAAACAGGGAGTTCAATGAGCAATTACAATGACGGTACTGAGAAGAGAGGTATTATTGAACGAAAACAACATAGTTTTGCAGATATTTGGATGGATGTAATAAAAAGGATTAATGTAACGAGCTTAAAGGAGTTCTTGTATCAGGAAGGAAGGCTGGTCTTGGTTAGATTTGGTGCAGGTACTTTACTTGCATTTTAACCCTTTTTAGTAAAAGCAGTATCATTACTTGTATGGCATGATTATGATTTCAAAAAACATAGTTGAATGTTAACAATTATAGCCTGTTTGGCAAGACTTAGGTCCCATTTAGTAGCATTAATCGGCTTATTCTGATTATAATCAGAATTAGTAGTCTTTGACTTACTTGTTTGACTGAAATCAATTTTTTGAAATGTTTTTCCTTTCGGGCAATTAAGTCAATTCAGTCTATGAAGAATGAAAACTCGTAGAAAAGGGTACATTTCTGTTTCGGGAACTCTACATGGATTCTTTAGAAACATTTTAAACACTTGTTTTCTATTAAATGATGGTGTTTTCTATATCACGTTTCACTACGTTTCTCACATTTTCGTGCAACATAGCATTCAACCATTTTCACCAATAAATCCAGTAGAGTTCCAATTTGATCTTTGTGTTTTAATTCTTCATATTCCCTATTTGATCTTTAATATGTCATTTTGTTCTTTGATGCACTCTTTTTCTCTATATATATTTGGAATCATGTTTGATGGAAGATACAACATACTAATAATAACGATTATAATAATGATATAATAGTGATAATTGTTGAAATCCTAGTTGTATTCGGCCTAGCCCATTTTATATAGGAAATCTTAATGTTCTAAGTCTCTAACTATAGCTTCAAATATAGCTACTATTGTAGTGTTTGATAGAAAGAATAATAACAAAAGGTTCATACTATTCACATGGTATCTGATAGAGACACGGAAATCCTATCAGTATCAAAGCCATATATGGAAAACCCTAGGCATTCTTGTTGTTCTTCTGCCGAGAAATTCTGGCATAAACAGTGGCTGCAATTTACATTGGAGTACTTTCGGTATTCACACCATCAATCTTACCTCCGCTGCACAAACCACACACCGTCAAAGTCTGCCTCTGCAGTTTTACTACTTTTGCAGATCTCTCTCTCCCCATTCATCTGGCATTGATACTGCCAATATTCTCATTATCCTGAGTTTCTGGCAATCCAAACCAACTAACCTGGTACCGCTCCTGCCATTCGCCACCGCCCCACGCGCAAAGAAATCTGTTTTTCATTGTGCTTGTTCTGCTGCAGTTGAATTTCTTATCAAGTTGCTGTTTTTCATCTTGCTAGAATGGAATATTTATCACTCATCGTTGGTCTCCGGTGAAACTCTGTGCATTGTATTAGGAGCTGGTATTTTTCCTCTTGCTGATTTCATACTATTCACACTAGGAAAATAGAGTGAAAAGTCTATTGGTTTCTGTTTGCTTCGGTTCCAATTATCACTAATAATCTGATATGGAAAGAAGAAGCTCATTATTACAATCATTATTCATTATTGTTAGTTTCCAAAAGTAAGTTTCCTAAAGTATTGGGTGCTAGTTTCCTAAGGTTATTATTAATTTCCTAAAGTAAGTTTCCTAAAGTATTAGGTGTTAGTTTCCTAAGGTTATTATTAGTTGTAGTTTCCTATTAGTGGAGATATTCTATTTTAGTTAATTTCCTAATAAAAGTATTGTAATAGAATTAGGGTTACTCTAATACTAGACCACCAAGACTCTTGGGACTAGTATAAATAGAGGTTCCATATTAATGAATAAATCATCAATCTTCTGGAGAATAATTCTTTTTGTGCGCTCAGTGGAACCGACGGACTCTCCCTTGCCTAGGGCGGGAAGCTGAGTTCTTTTTCCAACTATCATACTTATCGTTCTTCTTTTTTATCTCCTGTAACATAATTGTCTGGTCGTAAGTGCTAATTCTTAATCATGGGCTATTTCAGTGGAGATGTGGTTCAATTAGTAAAACTTGTTTCAAACACAAACGGGTGATGGATCATTGACTCAAGTGCCTAAGACCTTTCTCTGTGATAATCCACATCTATTACTACTAAGCACCAAAACCTTCCTTTAATCACCTAGCCTATGGTTTTCAAACTTTGGCCACTCCAACTTTCTTCCTTACCATCTGACTTCAACCCTGTATGTTCTTAAAAGCCCTTTTAACCTTGTCACGGTTAGTAAAATTACACGCTCTCTTTCGATTGTGAGTCGTGTCACCTTAGAAAGCAACCGTTAGTCATTTTCAAGGCGGGTGAATAAGCGGGCACCCACTCCCATTTGATTTAGTTCGTATAGACTATAGATATATGAGGTCTGTATCGAGTCACGTCTACCTTAGGATTCTCTATTTTGTTATTTTGATGGATGACTTCTCCTAATAAACGTGGTTGTTTTTAATGAAAGAGCGTTTTGAATTATTTGATATCTTTCAATTTTTTCTCGAAATTCACACAATTTGGTCATTCTATAAAAATCCTACTATGTGACAATGTTAAAGATTTTTTTGCGACACCCTTTAATCAATTCACGAGATCACGAGGTATGCTTCCCTAGTATTCTTGTGTTCACACGCCTCAATAAAATGGGTTTGTTGAAAAGAACTGATAATTATTTGATACTACTTGCACTCTTTTATTACATTCAAATAATCCACCTCAGTAACAGGCAGATATTGTTCTCACTATCATATAATATCTTCTTTAGTTCTTAATAACGAGATTCCCTATTCTGTTTTTTTTCTTCAACTGTTGACTCCTAATCTAACGAGCATCAAAATAATCCTCCAACAGCAGCTCAACTTTTACACATCTACCATGGTCGTCCTTTATCTCCACCCATTGAGCATAGAGAGGCCGCACCTGTGGGTTCCCTACTACAGATTCTACGTCATCGCAATCATCTGAGTCACTCCTAATGATTTGCCCATTGCACTCAAGGAAGCTATGCACTCGACTTTGAATCCTCATATCATATAACAACGCCTTTCCACTCCTTACTTTGAATCCTAATAATAATAATAATAATAATAATAATAATAATAATAATAATAATTATTATTATTATTATTATTATTATTATTATTATTATTATTATTATTATTATTATTATTATTATTATTATTATTATTATTATTATTATTATTATTATTATTATTATTATTATTATTATTATTATTATTATTATTATTATTATTATTATTATTATTATTATTATTATTATTATTATTATTATTATTATTATTATTATTATTATTATTATTATTATTATTATTATTATTATTATTATTATTATTATTATTATTATTATTATTATTATTATTATTATTATTATTATTATTATTATTATTATTATTATTATTATTATTATTATTATTATTATTATTATTATTATTATTATTATTATTATTATTATTATTATTATTATTATTATTATTATTATTATTATTATTATTATTATTATTATTATTATTATTATTATTATTATTATTATTATTATTATTATTATTATTATTATTATTATTATTATTATTATTATTATTATTATTATTATTATTATTATTATTATTATTATTATTATTATTATTATTATTATTATTATTATTATTATTATTATTATTATTATTATTATTATTATTATTATTATTATTATTATTATTATTATTATTATTATTATTATTATTATTATTATTATTATTATTATTATTATTATTATTATTATTATTATTATTATTATTATTATTATTATTATTATTATTATTATTATTATTATTATTATTATTATTATTATTATTATTATTATTATTATTATTATTATTATTATTATTATTATTATTATTATTATTATTATTATTATTATTATTATTATTATTATTATTATTATTATTATTATTATTATTATTATTATTATTATTATTATTATTATTATTATTATTATTATTATTATTATTATTATTATTATTATTATTATTATTATTATTATTATTATTATTATTATTATTATTATTATTATTATTATTATTATTATTATTATTATTATTATTATTATTATTATTATTATTATTATTATTATTATTATTATTATTATTATTATTATTATTATTATTATTATTATTATTATTATTATTATTATTATTATTATTATTATTATTATTATTATTATTATTATTATTATTATTATTATTATTATATTATTATTATTATTATTATTATTATTATTATTATTATTATTATTATTATTATTATTATTATTATTATTATTATTATTATTATTATTATTATTATTATTATTATTATTATTATTATTATTATTATTATTATTATTTCTTCCTCAATTTACAATGCTTACCAAATGGCGTCTTATCATGACAAATGTGGCTGATTTTGCTGGTGTTTGGGTTGAATTTTCTAAATATTTAATTATTTATAAACACGTATGAAGTATTTAAAAAAGCTAAAAAAATCCGAAGGAAATGTAGAAGTATCAATTTCACCCCTTTCAGCCAAAAATTAACTCATTCACTAATTAAGGCCATTTAGGGAGCCCAATGGAATAATTTAGTGTTTGGTGAAAAAATGTTGATAAACTGAAAATGAAACCTACTAAACAGTATCTTAATCCTGTACCAAAAGTTTCTTATTTGGACATCTATCTGCAGCTCCAAAGGTACGTTTGGTTTTCCGTTCACATGTATCGAGATCCAAGGCAGAGAAATTTAGAGTACATATTTCACAAGCATTTGAATCTGTTCTTGGATCATCCCCTGTGATGCTCGAGATCAGAGATGAATCAAGGAAAGATCTAAAGGCAGGATTAACTGTCTTTCCCACATCTCGTGGCGGTTCATCGTCTCACATTCAAACAAGCTTCAGTCGTCACACTAGGCTTCAAAAAGAAAGAGTAGGAGCTTTGCCTGGAGATTTTTACTCCTCCGGAACAGCAGAAAATGAGATTGTAGAATTAGAAAGTACACCCTCGAGAGTAGCCAAACAACTTGAAGTGAGACAATTGGGGAATATAGAACAGAAGAATATGAGCCTAGTGAGAGGGAAGGTGTCTCTTGCTCAAGTGCTGCAACTGGCAGAAGGATGTGCACAGCAGCCGCAGTCCATATGGTCACACCGCATGGCAGTCTCTGTTGCTGAAAAGCTTGAACATGACAATCTGTACGTTCTTTTCATAACTATTTATTTAAGATGGCATATCACATTTGACTCATAAATTTCATTTGTTGTTTGACCTTTTTTCCGAAATATTTAAGTGATTTATCTTCATCATCACCTGACAAAATTTTTGGGTCAACTTTTGTATGGTTTCCGTTTCATTGTTTTTTGGCAGAACCCTAAAAGGATATGAAACTCATAGTCGTGTACAACATGTGGAAAAAATGAAAGTCAGTCATCAGAAGTTTTTCTTTATGCAGGAGACTGGAGCCCAGATATAGGAGTTTGTTTTGCTGGAAGTCTAGAAGGGTATCATGTCCAAAGGTAAAATCAGTTTATACCCTCATTGTTTGTTTGTTTGTTTGTTTGTTTGTTTGTTTGTTTGTTTGTTTGTTTGTTTGTTTGTTTGTTTGTTTGTTTGTTTGTTTGTTTGTTTGTTTGTTTGTTTGTTTGTTTGTTTGTTTGTTTGTTTGTTTGTTTGTTTGTTTGTTTGTTTGTTTGTTTGTTTGTTTGTTTGTTTGTTTGTTTGTTTGTTTGTTTGTTTGTTTGTTTGTTTGTTTGTTTGTTTGTTTGTTTGTTTGTTTGTTTGTTTGTTTGTTTGTTTGTTTGTTTGTTTGTTTGTTTGTTTGTTTGTTTGTTTGTTTGTTTGTTTGTTTGTTTGTTTGTTTGTTTGTTTGTTTGTTTGTTTGTTTGTTTGTTTGTTTGTTTGTTTGTTTGTTTGTTTGTTTGTTTGTTTGTTTGTTTGTTTGTTTGTTTGTTTGTTTGTTTGTTTGTTTGTTTGTTTGTTTGTTTGTTTGTTTGTTTGTTTGTTTGTTTGTTTGTTTGTTTGTTTGTTTGTTTGTTTGTTTGTTTGTTTGTTTGTTTGTTTGTTTGTTTGTTTGTTTGTTTGTTTGTTTGTTTGTTTGTTTGTTTGTTTGTTTGTTTGTTTGTTTGTTTGTCGTGCGTGTAGGGGTCAATCTTAGAAGTTTACCCACACATCACTCACCTTACCTTATTGTCTACTCCCTCCGTAACATTCATATCTTCCCACTTTCCTTTTTTGGATGTAACATTTATATCTTCCTATTTCTAAATCTTCCTATCATACCCTCAGTAATTAAAAAAATAATACACTACTACACCTACTTTTTTTAGATTTATCCTTCATTCCATCACATTATTTCACCATCTTCCCATTATACCCTCAATAATTCATACCCCATTTAACTATTCTTAATCTCACCCACTTTGGAAGTGGGAAGATATATGTGATATGGAGGGAGTACCTTTTAAAGGTTTGACTCTCATGCTCTAGCTCTGATGTGGGCTGACTTAATTAGAGCCCGTTTGGTAACACTGAAATTGGGTGAAATGGCTCAATCTGCTAAATTATGAATAAAATATGTAAAATATATTTTATTAAAAAAATAAAGAAAATGTTATATGAAAGTAGCTAAAATAGTCTTATTCAACAATTTCAGCCAATTCAGTAACTACAACATTACTTATTTTGATCATTGAGCACACAAAATCTAAAGTTACGTGTTTGATAAAAAAGGTTAATAAGCTGAAAATAGGGGTTGCTAAACAGGCTCTAAATTTAATATTTTCAAAGATTTCCCAAAGCAAATTGCCTAAATTAAAGACCGCTTGAGGAATGAGATAATTTGCCTGAATTAAAGTAGGAGTAACACCTATACACCTATCTTGTTTATTTTTCTTTGTTATGTTTTTTTTCTATATTTTATCTTTCTTATGTTCTTTTATGTTTTAATCTTTTATTTTTCTTGTATTTTATGTTATTATTATCTTATAATACTCTTTATCTTGTCCATTTTATCTTACCTTATTTTTTTATTTCTCTTATCTTTCTTCTTTTTTTGACTGATGTCATGGATCAACTGATGTTAATCGATTCCAAAATCTTTTAAGAGCAAGCTTGGATGTTGTTGTTTTCGAATGATTCCTTATGTTATAGTTTTTGCTTAAATGCGTACTTGCAATGTGCAGCTTAAGCGGTTGAGAACCAGAAGTAGGAGACCAAAAGCTTTACTGAAGTTGGTCTCTTGCGGGAGGTGTCTCTCTGGCAGGTCTTCAAGGTAAACACCATAGAAAAACTTACCAGATGGCAACTGAATGCTTAGGTGCAGATTTCCATTGTATTTTTGTTTTGTTTTGTTTTAATGCATACCTCGTGAAAAGCTAAAAATTTTGTTAGTTAGCTACATTTTCTAGAGGTAGAAACACCGTTGGTAAGAAATGGTGATTAGAGCTTCTACTTGTTAAGGTTTAGGCCTCTTTCAATTGCATTATCTGTTACATATTGTAGATGTTTTTATATAGGAAGTTGCCATTTTTGGGTGGACAACTGGAACAAGCAGATCATCCTTTAGCAGCATGTCTTCTAAAAGAGTGACACGAAATTACGAAGTAATATTAGTAGGGAGTAAGGAGTCGATTAATGAAAGGTTCTGAATAGATCGACAACAATACCTTTTGGGAGATGGTATACTCCATGTCTCCATCTAGGGGTGGACTCGGGCCGGGCGGCCCGACCCGGAACCGGCCCGGCCCGGTTACTGTTTGGCCCGGCCCGGCCCGGGGCCCGGGGCCCGGTGGGTCCATCAGTTCGGTTTGGCCCGGCCCAGGTGATGGGCGGTCCGGGCTCGGGCCCTGCTTTAGGTGAACCGGCCCGGGCGGTTTGGGCCCGGTCCGGGCCTGATTTTAATTTTTTTTTTTTGAATTTTTTTTAAGTTTTGGATTGGATTAGGTATTTTGGGTCATTTGAGGTGGTTTGGGGTGGTTTGGGGTTGAGGGGGAGGGGTAGGGGGTTAAATAAGAGAACCAAAAAAAAAAAAAAAATAGACCAGTTGGAACTGGCCCGGCCTGGCCCGGTTTGGCCCGGAACTGGAACCGGCCCGGCCTGGTTTGGCCCGGAACCGGAACCGGAACCGGCCACCAGCGGTTCGGGCTCGGGCCCCAATTTTCTGACCCGAGGCCCGGCCGGGCCCAGGCCCGAACCGGGCCCGAACCGGCCCGAGTCCAGCCCTACATCTATTCATTTAAAGGTAAATCCGAGGCTAGAATTGCTTGCCTTAACCCTACTAAGGTAGGGTGGACTAGGCCGGTTGTGGCCCGGTTATGATTATGTACTTGCTAGTTCATGTCCTAGTTATTTAAATAGGGTACGGGAATTAAATGAGGTTTAATATGTACACGTTTTATTCGGTGACGTGAATAAAAAACGGTCAAAATTTAGTTGGAAAGACGTTGAATTTTTACAAATTGTGTAAATATATACGACGTATGTGTATAATACAATATCTATGTCAAAAATTCGGACAAAAAATAAATTTGAACATTTAAATTATATAGTTCACAAAATAAAATATACTCCCTCAGTCCCAAAAGGATTGACCAAATTGATTTTTATTAGTCAATGGTGGTAAAGTTTGACTAATGATATTATTTAATAAAAAATATTTAAAATATGAATATTATATGAGCATATTCTATATTAAAAAAAGTTTCATAAAAGTATAAAAATTAAAAATCATACACAAATATAATATCTAATATCATTGTCTACACTTTAACACCATTTACTAAGAAAAGTCAAATTGATCATTCTTTTTGGTACATAAGTAGTAGTAAAATGAAATAAAAGTATAGACATATTCAAGTAGCAAATGCCATTATTGTATAAAAGAATGATTCATAATTGCATAAGTTGATGACAAAATAGTAATCAAGTCCAAGACGTAATTTGGCAAAATAATGTAAAAAAAAATAAGGCATAATAATGATAAAATGAGGTTAAGTTAACATCATCATCTTTATATGATCATTAAATAACATTGAAGTTAAACACATCATTTGATTAAGATGATGGATGTCATATAAGAAAGTTGTGCGATTGTTACGCTTATCATTATTTATGCGGGAGAAGTTTATACTAAAAAATGTCAAATTTAGAAAAAAAACTTAATTTTGGTATGCTTGTTTGAAAAAATATCAGAAATCTTGTAGTTTTAAGTTTTAGTCTTTTAGAATGCTATCTTTAGTTGCCATGTAATTAATTTTAGTATTTAATAATTGCATATTGTGTTTTGTAACAATACAAAAACACAGGGTCAAAGGGAGGAGGTTTTCCTTTTTGCTTTTGAATTATTGTTGATCTCTTATTCATTTAATCTATTCATTCAATTGATCAATTCATGACGGGAAGTAGGAGTTTTCCCCTTTTAAACGGACCGACATTATTTTTTCGTTTGAAACGTGTTGTTTTATTAAAAAAAACTCTATGTTTTTAAAACGCGTTTAAAATGCAAAAAGACTAACTAGGGTTCCTGTTCTCCACCCTCACTACCGGGGATCACACGAGTTTTTGAAGAGGTTAAACCAATTCTAGAGAACAGAGCCCACTGATTTAAAGGGCTTCAATTTTTTTAAAAATTTATTAGTATTATATAGTCCTCCCTCCGCTCTGTTAAGTTTGTTCCATCTTTCCTTTTCGGTTCGTCCCACTAAGATTGTCTCATGTCAAATTTGATAAAGTTTGTGTGGTTCTAAATGGTTTTTACTTTACTTCCACTTTATCAACTAGTTACTCAATCCGTGCGTTGCACGGAAGGTGAAGTAGCTACATAAATTTTAGAAGCAATTATACGAAAGCTAAAATAACTTGATAGTTGATAATGATCTAATCAGCTGAAAACACTAAATAGAATTTATGGTAAGATATTATTATAATAACAAACTCACAAATGAGTGGTATTAATCAAAAGTAAAGCATCATGCAATGAAGTAGGTCTTCATGTAAGCTCATGGAACTATCAACAAAAAAATATAATTATTATAAACTTCTTTGTATAGAGTTTTTATGACACACGAGATTGGTCGTCTTGTCCATCTACGTTACATATGACAGAGGAAATGTCAACTTACTCGATGATTGGATCCAACTCTTATTAATACTCGGCCCTATTTTGTAAGATATGTTTCCTATTCACTTGGTCAATACAAATCATTCTTAATCTCTTAATTTATATATCAATTTTTTTTATCAAATTTGATTCTGGTTTTTGTAACTTTGTAAAACTTTTAGTGTAGTTTCTTAATATGTATTTTTTTGGAAAAAGGGTCATATAAACCCATCTACTGTTACAAAACCATCATGTAAGCCCATATACTTCAAAAACAATCACACAAATATACGGAGTACATACTATTATAAAACAATCAAGTAGGTCCAATGACCTGTTAGCACTTATGATAGCAGGTTACTATCATTTGTTTACCTTTTTTTTGTCTTTCGTTATACGATTGCATTTTTTATTTTGCTTTTTTCCCCCTTTCCTTTCTTTTTTATTTTTCTTCTTGATCATCACTATTATTTTATTTCCCTTTCTTTAATGTCTTTATATTTTTAGTTTTTCTCGGTTTCACTTTTTCATTTATTGCCTTCACCCTGAAAATGCTCCGTACCATTTCTTATACAATATTTCACTAATGCCGAAATAACACTTTTCATTTCTTATTATTATTAATGCCTTCACTAATGTCTAGAACGCACATTAAATGTTTCAATGCAGTAAAAAATTGTATGTTTTCGTACACAATTTGAGAGTTCCTTGCAAGAACAATATACGTGTGTAAAAATGTAAAATGTTTGGCACATTAAATGTGGGTCAAAAAAAATAAATTTTACAAATAATAAATGTTTGGCACACAAAAAATGTTTTGGCAGGGCTAGAAAAACGTTACTCCCTACTCCCTCGCATAAAACATGATCATGTTGAATTTCAATGATGTGCATATTTGATAAATTATACGGAGCACTCCGTGTCTTTTAAAATGAAAATATTTAAAATATACTCCCTCCGTCTCAGGGAGAAGTTCCCGGGTTGACTTTCACACGTATTAAGAAAATAAAGTTACTGAGGGGTAAATTTTACTGTTTGGCACTGTTTCGACACTGTTTGGCACTGTTTCAACACTGTTTGACATTGTTTTGCACTGTTTGGCACTGTTTTGATGTATGATAACTTTCCATTTAGAGAAATGAGAACTTTTTGTTGGGACTGCCAAAAAAGGAAAGTGGGAACTTGTCACCGGGGAGGAGGTAGTAAAAGAATACTTGTGGTTGGGTCCGTTTCCAGATAGGGCCATGTGCTTCATTTTTTTTTATCAAAGTGGTTCATGTGTTTGAATTCCATTATCACAAGAGGGTCACGCCGTTAAAAACGTCTGACAAATATAGTTAATAGTAACTCCGATTTTCAAAAGTGACCGAAAAATTAAAAGAAAATACCAGAATGTACACCTCAACAAAACGATTGCTAGGTCATCTTTCTTTTTTGTCAACGTAAAGTCCACCAAAAAAGTGATATTAGCGAAATTATTTTTTAAAAACATTTCAAACAGATCTGAAAAATCCAAAGGCGAAGGTGGTTTGGAGGTCATCTTGATAAGGCGCACCTTTCAGTGTTTTTCTTTTAAATTTCCGGGCACTTTTAAAAATTGGAGTTATTAGTAACCGTCTTTCTCAGACGTTTTTAACGGTGACTCTCTTGTGATAACGGAATTCAATCACATAAATCATGTTGATAAAAAATGTGTTTACATGACCCTATATAAAAATGGATCCAAACATGACACTATCTAAATATAAATAGTAGTCTTTTCAATTCGAAACAAATGTGACTACCGTTTTAATTCGCATCATTTAAACATCATCATTAATTCCTATATAATTCCCATATATGGTTGCCGTTTGATCGCTACAAACCGTACCCTAAAGGCTAAAGTTTATAAGATTTCGCTACTGGATTGGGTTGGTGGGGCTGACGGCCCCTTGGGCTATGGTGGGGCGGCGCCGACATTGATCTTTGTCCGGGGAGGCAGCAATCGTTGGCTGGGGTAACGGTGGTCTTTCGCAAGAGCGGCGGCAGTGGTCGTTGGCTGAGGTGGCGGTGGTCTTTTGCAAGAGCAGGGGCAGTGATTTACTGATTTTAAGTTGGGACAGCGACAGCAGTGGTCTTTGGCCGGGGGGCGACAGTGAGTACCAATTTTAGAGTGATTTTAAATTTAAATTTATTCGCACCGGTTATTTGTGTCAAAAATATCGTAAAAGTACAAAATTTATGAATAATAAATGTATGACACAAACAAAAAAGTTCTGCATAGCTACGGCGAGCAAATTGTATAATTTTTACACACTTTTAATATCTTTCCTAGTCACAGTTATGTCTTTAAAATTAAGTCACAGACGAAAATGTCTAATGAAAAAATTCTGGTTCAAAAGATTTTGAAAATGTAAATAAAAGTTATACAGATCTTAGCCTTATGTTGAACATTTTGTGTGTATCCTAGACATTTATTTTCCCAAGGAAGTAGGGGTGAGATTTTAGAACCGGGAACCGTAG